ACGGTTGTAATGAAATATAACATATTATCATTTAGTATTTAGCATTTGGGCTAATTGAAGCTATTGGTCTGTAGTAGCAAATCATAAGTGCAATTGCACTGTACTTTGTTCAAACATCCCACCCCCACTTTAAAAAAAAAGAAATGTAAGCTTGATCAAGTTCTTCAATGGGCCATGAGTTCCACTTTATCTTTTTTATTTATATTATATTCAAATTTCCTTTTTTTAAAAAATAGCTTGCTTCACCTGAAATTTAAAAGAGCTACTTTTTTCTTAAAAAGACAGTTCTAATATTGAGTTTTACTCAGCATGAATTAAAAAAAAATCAGGGTACTCATTCATTCAGTCCCAGACTGAAATGGTAAGCAAAATAGCAAGAACTTTCAGCTCTGCTAGTTCTCTCAACATCGAACTTGCAAAAGGAGTATCATCATGACTGGAGAGGCCAATTCTCTAAGCAGCTGGCCAGGGACAGTGCAATGTTTGAGGCTGACACTGACAGCCCTTATTTTAAAAGCTCATCCAACTGTAGCATCTTTATCTGCTACTGGTGTACTACCCATTAAGAAAAAAAGGGCATACTGATATTCTTAACAAGCCACAAAATAAACAGACAGACAGTAAAAAAAAAAAAAAAAAAAAAAAAAAAGCCAGTGTCTTGCCAGAAGCAATTGTAGCCCTGGGAAGACATTCCATTCAGCATCAATGACTTTGATAGTTGATAGCTCGTCTTCTGCTGAAACACAAAATATAAAAAGCTCCTATAGCAACTGTCAAACAGAAAATAAAGGTCATTTATGCATACAAATATTTAACTGGGGCACAAAGTAACAAAATGCTCAAAGGGACTTATGGCCATGCTTTTTCTTTAAAAATGTGCAAAGAAATCAAAAAGTAGTACAAAATGAAGAAATTATAAAAGGCAGAAACCCAGTGTGACCTTTGATGCCAAAAGCATTATATTTTCATCACAATCAATGGTTTTTCTTCAATTGTGACTGAATTTGCAGATAACATTGAAAGTATAAAATAGTCTCAAAATAAATTGATGCCGGAGGAAGGATAGCTCTGCTATCAGCGGAACTGATGACCACAGCAAAAGAAGAGCTGGCAAACCAATTGGTGCCTCATAATTCTTTCTCTGGATAAAGGGGAGGTCTTGGGATCACCACACACACTCCATGCAAGTCTTCCCTTGAGGAGACCATAAAACAGTGGTCTTTGGTAGGTTTTACAGTTCTGGGAGAAGAGCAAAGGTTAACTTTGCCCAAGCTGCAGTTCAGAACTTTCAGACACCAGGTTCATCTACTTCCTTTCTTAATCACTTTTGGAAATTGCTTGTAAACTACTTTTTGGATATTAAGAAACTTCAGAACAACAAGATCCTTACACCAGGGCGATTCTCCTTCAATCCTGAGCAAAGTTTAAGGACCTAAAAAAAATTCATTTTGAAATAAAACAGCAAACAGTGTTTTTAGAATATTGATTCTGGAATGTTAAAAATGGACTAAGGGGCCAGGTAGATTGGAAATAAGATTCTGATATTAATTATAAGAATCCTTCCAGGTTTGTTTAAAATCCTATTAAAAATAAATGAAGATTCTGAATCTAAGTAAAAGAAATTGATTAGAGAAAAACACTACAAAAGGACTTTGAAGGTTGGACACTACAGGCAATCAGAAAGAACTAAAGATTATAATTAAAGGAGAAGAGACCCATGAACAGAAAATGGAGAAAACTATTTTAACTTTGAAAGGAGCCAGTTAGCAACTAATTTACCCTGCTATAGAAAGGGGTCTTTGCTCAAGTATTACAGTGAAATAAAGTCTCCCCAAGACCTGCATTATCATTAGTCTTTAAATCCTACTCTTCAATGATACTACCATCAATGTTCAAAATCTGCCAATTATTAATGAATCAGTTAATTTAATATATTTCTGTATCTTCTTTCATAAACAAGTAATTCATTTAAATACTTTACATAAGCTATATTCATTAAAAGTTGGGGAAAGAAGAAAAATAAAAATAGCAATCCTATTCATCCATATATGGCAGGGGTCCCCAACCCCAGGTCCATGGACCAGTACCGGTCCACAGCATGCCAGCAACTGTTCCGCACAAGCAAGCAAAGCCCCATCTGCGGGATGCAGGTAGCACACACAAAATCACGCCCCCTCTGGTCTACAGAAAAACCTCTCTCCATGGAACCAGTTCCTGGTGCCCAAAAGGTTGGGGACCTCTAATATATGGTGTTCATCAGTGATACGATCCCAAGTTTCCGGTGAGAAAGTTAATTCTAGGAGCTCTCTAAAACGATGTACATATTCTTGCTATGTACATTTTAAACAAAGAATCCCTACTAGTTCTCACAATCAAGGTATCACCTATGTGTAATTCTACATTATTAAGGTTCTTCCTCAATTTATTAGTTAAGCTTTATTACTTATATAAATTTACATATATAATATATACATAAATATTAAATTACATATATAATAGATATGTAAATATTACGTATATATTAGTTATACACCCCATAATTTAGTTCAGACAGCAGTTCAGATATGCATAGCTTCTCCCAACTCCGACGTTATAAACCTGAATGTCACTGGTATATTAAAGACATCTTGCCCCCTCTCAAATTGTCATTTGCCCTCAATAACTTCCATTGGATATTAAACCGCAATACTAACAAAGTGCAAGTATCTACTACAAAGCTGCCAATATGCTGCAAGCAGGAATTACTTTAGTAACTTCATCCTCCAATTTAGGAAATAATCTAGGAGAATATTGTTATCAACAAAATCAAAAGCCTCTAAAGCATTAACAGCACTCTAAGACTTTCCCAGAGAAAATCATCCATTGATGAGATCAAGGTTAACTATGTTCCAAGTCTGAAAAGGGCTGAGAAAATGACTTTCAAAAACTTGCAGCAGTTGTAGAAACCTTACTCCCAAAGTAGTATCTATGACTCCAAATAGTCAGCTAATCCTCTATGTTCAAGGATACAGGCAGGAACTAGTAGCAGTATTTAAACTATGTTCCTTGCCAAACAACTTAGTTCCTGTGAACAAACCTAGTAATTTCTATATGGCATGCTAACACTTTACTTAAAGAAAAAAGTATTCATATCCTACACCTCTGCTTATTCCAATACAGACAGTCCTTGACTTACAACCAATTGTTCAGAGACTCTTTGAAATTATGACAGCATTAAATGAAGGCACTTATGACCTATACCTGAAGCTGTGGCAGTGCCCCTGTAATCATGTGATCAAAATTTGGGCACTTGCAAACCCATCTGCACTTACAACTGTATGGGTGCTGCAATGCCTGCCATCTGCTTATCTGCCTCATCTATGCTCTTTTGACCACCTGCTGCCCTGCACTCTGCTGTCCTAGCTCATCTTCGCCATCTTCTTGCTCCTACTGTTAATGAGGAGCATCCAGCCTGGGGCTGGCTTTGCACTGTGATAAGGAGGGGGGGGGGAAGGGAGACAAAAGCAGCCTTTGAGCCATACCATCCCTTTGCAAAGAGTTCTAGGGCAGGGCAGGGTCTGGCTTCACTCTGTGAAAAAGGGGGTAAAAGGCTGCATTGGGCTTGCACCCCTCCCCTTTAGGGAAAAACAACTGTCCCTCCCAGGAGACTTTGAAAGGGGTGTTTCTTTGCAAACAGCTCCTGGATGGGCTGGGGATGGCTTCAAGCTCCAAAAGGGGGGAAGAGAGCTAAAAGCAGCCTTTTCTTTTCTTTTTCACAATAGGAGGCTAGTCCCAGTCCATCCAGGAGCTGTTGGCAAAGAAACACCCACATGTAAAGAGGTACTGGGTGGGGTTGGGGATAGGCTTTGTGCGGAGAAAAAGAAAAGCCAAAAAGCAATCTCTCCCCCACCCCCTTTTCATAGTGTGAAGCCAGACCCAGGCAGGTGTGTGTTATCATCAGCAGGAGCAAGAAGATGGCAACATTGAGGTCAGGCGATGGAACACAAGATGGCAGGCCTCTCAGAGCGCAGGGTGGCAAGGATGACTTGAGCTGAATTGGGGCAGCTGCCATGTGTTTCTGGGGTTGCTTACCACCTTGCAAGACAAAGGGCAGGGCAGCCAAAAGAGCAGAGATGGGGTGGAGATAGATGGATGGGGTGAGTTGGAAGCAATCCCTTACCTTACTGAGGCTTGGGGCTGGGATGGACCAACCTCATAATGGCTTGAACTGGGATGAGTCCTTGGCTAAAGACTGGCAAATTTTGCTTAATGATGGCAACAGGGATTACTGGAATTGTGGTCACTGGTGCTCACTGGTGCAGTCGCACGGCATTCAATGTTACGACTGCATCGCTTAGCAACCAAAATTCTGGCCCCACTTGCGGTCAAAAATTGAGGACTACTTGTACTTCCTGAATTTTGTTTCCTTTTATTGTAACAGTCTAATAGTTGGGGTCACAGGATATTCCACTAAATTTAACATCCAACGCATAGTACAAAGTATTCAAACAAATCCACACACCAGATGTAACTGCGTTGTTACTCTTACCTGCCTGTCCAACAGATTTTAATATACACATATATAACAAATATGAGAAAGGAATTGAGTTTTGATTGAACGTGATGTACTCTGACAGTGGTAAAAACCACATAACTGCCTGTGTTTACTTTGATATTAATTTACCTAAAGAATGAGTTGTAATAATTGATAAAGGTTCTTGATCAAAACTTGGCAAATTGCTTTAATTAAAAATTCAGCTCCTTTTGCATTTAGCCAGAAAACAGAGCATTCATTCCTGAACTGTTCATATACATGGAAATAATGCTGGATAAAAAATAAAATAAAATGAAACAATTCATGAAAAAATGGGATAGCAACATACATTTATGCGTTGCTATAAGTCTAAATTCAATTTCTTCAGAGAATTTTAAATGTCAACTGAATTATCATATGAATTGTTCAAGTCTGATGAGGAAAATGTAGATAGACAGACTTGAATTTACATCTGTAACAAACATACCTGTCCCAGTCAAAAGTCCAGCACTCTTCTTTCGTGCATAAGCGCGTAAGTGGTTGGACAGGCTAACAGCACTTGTAAACGCCGTATTGCAATGCACACACGTTCTAAGCTTCACAGGCATACCTATCATTCAAAAGAAAACTATAATCCAGTTCTCTCTTTAAAAATGAAACTCTCAACTCGTTTCAAAAAATCCCGAATTAAAAGTTGCTTTAAGTATGTTCAGTGCATCAGTGCAATTGTTTCAAAAGGAAGAATCTAGCTCATGGCTATTATTTTCTTATCTGGCACAAAACATCCTTTTGGGTAAGAAAAATGAAATGTGTGATCGGAATTCCTAAGCTTTGCTGAATTTAACAACTATTATCACTTTGCTGCTGATTTTCGCATTACACAGATTTTCTTTCCTAACTCCAAAATACAATTCTGCAATTTGAATAGCACAGTTCTGTTAAGAAGTTTGAAAGCTTGTAATGTTCCCAATAAAGAGAATTAGAAAGTCTAGTTGACAAAGTGGTAATTAAAGTGTTTTACCCACAAGACTGTAAAAGGCTCAATACTAAATTAGGTTGCTGATGAGGGCTGGGAGAAAAAGGTGGTAAAACACACCACTGCACAGCTGTTAGACAAAACATTTTTCTTCGGTGCATTTTATCTTCATTACTCTGAATGCGCAATCAATAATGAAAGTTAATGATTTGTAGTTTTTGCTAAAATCTTTGTGCTAAATAAATGATCAACAAACATCTTAGTTATCACAGAAAAGAACACATAGTGAAGCAATGCCAAACTACATCAGAAAAAAATATATACTGCCAATGGTTTCTTAACCGTATTTCCATGCACACATAAAAGTTTAGTCTTGGACAATACTGTCAATATTTTTTTTACATTATTCATATTTCATTGTATTAGAAAAAATTGGATGTTTTTAAGATATAATTTTTAGATGTACGCAACACAAAAACCGATTTTCATGTATTTTAAATATTACTGCTTAATAAGTAGTATAAATTAACAATCAAATCTTATATTAATTGGAATTAAAAGTTCTATTAATAACAGTTGGTATTATGCAATTTCTTTTATTATTTTTGATTGAAGTGTAGAGAATAGCGCTAATCAGTATTAGGCAACATAACAAATATCAACTACTTTATTTTTAGTGAACTATTATCTAATTGACAAGCTTTATTGAGCTACCTCCTATTTTAAAGCAATTCATTGCATTATTCATGCATTTCATATTAACTCATCCTTTCAGCCCCCTGTAGTTAGTTAATATAGGTTTTCCTATAAAGCTAGGTTATCTACCTAGATGAAAGTAAAAGCATAATCAGCAGTCTCATGTACTGTATGTGGTGACTTATTATATGGTTTCAGACTGCAAGTAGAGAATCAAACACTTGAATGCTTTCCCATTTAAAACGTATCATTTTAATTGCAACAAGTTTTATATGAGGATGCATTTGATCCATATAAACATTAGACATAAGCAGATCTTTCAACAGGACTCTTCACGTCACTCATCCAACATGGATCCAGAATATAATAGTATCCATATGCTCATAAAACCCCAAGAGAGTGTCAAGCTGCTGACCTCAGCCTTTGAGTGATGCAGTTTTTTATAATTCCATGCCACAAATCCAGAGAGGCAATTTGTTCACTGAAAGATCTGCACAGGCCTAATAAACATTTGGTTTCCCTACCTGCAATCTGTAGTGGTACAACAAGCAAATCACATGAATCTACTGATCATGTAATGTCTTCCAGTGACAGTCTGACTGCTGCATCATACTGCACTCTTGAAAGACCCATAAAACTACACCATCCATTTTCACCGCAATTACAAAATAATTACTCAAAGTTGAGCAAGATATTATAGTAGCTGGAATACACATTATGCAGAGATATTGGCAAAGAACTCCAGCATAATCTCTGACAGTTATGATTGAAAGACATATTTAAAAAAGCATTCTAAAACTATACTAAGGACTCTGAAATAAAGACTGAAATTACTGACCGAATTTCTAGAAAACCTTTATTCAAAAAGAGTCTGAGATTTTGTATCAGAACCCTGATGGAAAACAGAGCTATGGCTACCACAGATGCATTCTTAGGACACATATAACCTAACAATAGCTCACATATAACCACACATCACCCATTTAACCAATCAGGCATATTAACTTAAGGGAAATGCTAACTTTTACTACAGATAAAGGAACAACGATGTCTCAGCTATTTTTGGTTATTTGACTGTCAATACATTGTATCAAGTATTAGTTATTAATTAACATGTATTTTCTCTCTATCAAACATAACAATAAACATAAAACAAAGAATTAAGATGTTCACATGTATCTATTTCTATTACCCCTCAGTAATTACAGAGCAAAATTGTTTTCTATTCAAAACTTGGCCTGCCCGTTCAAAGTATAGGTAATTTTGGGTATGAAATTATTTTTTTCCTGATAAGAACTTTGCAAAGAAAAGTTTCAAGAATTGATTTTGGAATAAAGAAATACATACAGACACAAATGTATGTATTGACATAGATTCCAATTAAAATCTAATAGAATAGCAGTTACAAAAACAATCTCTTACCTGATTGTACAGTCAAATCCATTTTTTGTGGTTGATACATCAAAGGTCCATCTTCATCTAATGGAAGAACACATTTTTGAACAAACCTCTTTCTTGCGGTTTGATTATGAATCTTTTGAGGGGAGATATCAAAATTTCTTTCTTCTCCCATTCTTTTATTTTTCAAGAGTTCTATCAGTGTAAGTGACTGGTTTTTTTTTTCATCATGCAGTACTGATTTTGCTTCATCACATTCATTGAGACAATTCAGCCTTTCTTCCTCTGATGCAGACACCGATATATCTTCAGTCTTTAGGCCATTGCGGTATGCTTCAAGAGGTATAACATTTTGAGACAAAAAGTCATCATTGGATGAAAGTTTCTGAGCAACAAATGGTCTGGGAATAACGCGACGACTGTTCAATGCTTTAAGGATTTTTTCATATTTTTCTTCGTTTTGCATCATTTCATTTAGAACACAGATTGGAGATTTATGCGCATCCCATTTGGTTTTACCAAGCCTTTTTAGGTGTCCTCGCACATGATTAGATAATCCAATTTTAGTGTCAAACCAACCTCCACAGAGTTGGCATGTGTGTTCTGTAGAACTTTCAGATTTCTCAATTGCTACAAAGAAAAATGAGCGATTTATCCACTTGCCAGACATTAGGATGCAGCTTACTTAAAACATACACATCAAAACATTCAAACAAGAGAACAAAAAAACTAGTCAGGATACTATAAAATGAGGTAATAGTCATATTAGTCTACATTTCTTATATGCTGAAAACCTGAAGAAAAATCTTACCTTTTCTAACTCGTTTCACTGGGGTTCCCGTCACAGTTCTTTTGAAATGCTGCATTTTGTCACTTGTAGCTATCTGCTCAGGTGAGACAACATGGCGCGCCTCATAACTTAACCCAGCTCTGTGAAGATGTCCACGGACATGATTAGACAATCCGACACCAGTTTCAAAAGTTGCTGGACAGTATGGACAGTTTTTTTTCTCAAGTGATAAATCAGTCCAGTGAAAAACTGAATTATGCTTTGGCAATGTTGTACCTATGTTTTCCAAATTATGATGATCTTGGAAATCATGCAGATAATTGTTACCTTCACCATCTTCATAATATTCAAAATAAAATCCATCATTTTGTTCATATCTAAGAGACGATTTACCACCACCTTCTTCTTCCATTTTACCTTTAAATAAAGGGAACAGGTTTACATGGTCCTGATTAATATCACTGTAAGAGCCATCCTCCACAGACCGTGTAGTGTAATCACACAGTTCAACATTATCCCATGAACTTTCATCGTCCGTTTCATAGCTGTCTTTTTTTCCAGCAAGTTTCTGCAAAACAACAACAGTCATTTTATGTAGAATGCCTGGAAAACTGTCCAAATTATCTCCTGCTACAGATCCTCCCCTTTTGGGTCTTTTAATCAATTTTTTTTTACAGTTACATGCTTATTTTTATAGACTCTTGGGTCTTTTTTCATCAGTTAAGAGAATCCACAATAAACCTTATTATGAGAATTATTTGAAGACAATAAAGGTAACAACCTGACAGATCTTGTAGCATCCCCTTTTAAGTGTAAAAAAATGACAGCCAGATTTCTTAATCCTATGTATGCCTGTGTGTGTGTGTGTATGTCTATATACACAAACACATACATACACAGTTGTTAGATTTCCTGCATGATGTAAATCTTTAGGATTTGGGTCAGTGCTATTTCTATTCAAAATAAACCTGTCTGCAGAGCTTTGACTAAACACACTTACAGCTGACTGTGCAACGCTTTTCCGAGCCTTCTGTATCCTGGAGGGTCTCTTGTGGAGTTTTGCAAAGTGACTCGTCTGGAATGCAGAGCCAAATGGTCGTTTCATATCTTGTTTTAAAACAGAAGACTTTGGAAAGGCAGATGCTTGTTTGATGAAATGTTTAGTCCTGCTACCGAAATCTAAAGCTTCTTCTATACCGAGCCTTTTTCTTTTATCTAATCTAAGGCGACTGCCAAAGGGATCTATGCAAGCTGATGGATGCAAATATTCCACGTGTTTTTTTAAAATGCTTCGGGCCGATGTAGTAAAAGGACACATTTTACACATATAGTCAGCTGTCTTTTTTGAGGATTCCATATAGGAATCTTTCATCAATGCTTTTTTGTGTGTTTTCCTCTGTGTAATGTTTGTGGCGATCATTGCACATTTCACTACTGCCCCATGAGCAAGCCCTCGATGGCATTCAAGTTCATTCTCTGTCACAGCCATAAAGTTACATTCTTCACAGCAGTAGTATCTTTTATCTTTTTCGTGGGTTTTAGCATGCTGCACAAAGGTTTTGGGACAATTGGTACCAAACACACATTGTGGACACTGTAACCGTGCACTCCTACCCTCATCCTGAAGTTCTTTCAATTCCCGAATTTCCTCCATCAATTTCTGTCTTCTTTCCTGATGAATTATCATATGTTTAAGAAGGGAATTGCGATCTCTAAAGGTCCGGCCACATTCCCTACACGCATAAGGCCTCGAAACATTTAAATGACGAAAGTGCCTATTGCCATCCAAGTGATACATCATGTGCCTGTGCAGATGCTTTTTTTCCCTAAAATTCACATTGCACTTTGTACAGGGATAAAAAGACGGCTCATCGGAACTGAAATTAGATGGTGATACTAAGTCATCTTGTTCACATTTGTTCAATAAGGTATTAGAAAGAAAAGTGCTACTGTGAACAGGGGAAATGTCATCTGCACACTTATTACTTGGATTATAAATCAGATGCTGGATGGCATCCACAACTTCCAACTCCTCGTCTGTAGATTCAGGTTTTACTCTTGCTAATGAATATTTTTGTGATTCTATTATTTGCACATTTTCACTCTGCTCCAAAAACTCAACATCTACCGATTCAGAATTGTCGGGAATATAATTTGATTCGTTAAAACAGTCCTCAGTATAGCGAGTTATTTTGCTAACATCCATCTTTCTTTTCCTCCTTTTCTGAATGCCAACTTTAGGTTGAACTGGCGACTCTTCTACAGCTTCTTCATTTGTCATGAGGAATTCTATGTACTCTTTCTGTGGATCCCAGCTTACATCACTTTCTGATCTGAAGTCGCCTGCCGCTGAGGAAATTCCCGTTAGTGATTTGTTACCATCCTCTTTGCCTAATGAACTCCTGCTATCCTCACACACATCTACTTGGCTTACTAAAGTGCTATCTGATTTGATGCTTTTCCCTATTGATGGCTCTAGGTCACAAGCAACTGAAGCAGAGGGAGGTAGATTTTTCATGGAATGTGATAGGTTCTTAGCATGTGCTGCTTCAGGTAACAAGAACAGAACTGGGCTTGAATTTTGGATTGATGGTTTTGTGGGAAGTTGAAGATCATGTACCACGGTGATAGATGAAGAAGAATCTGTTTGATGGCCCACAGCTTGTGCATTAGTTAATGAAATGCTGCCTTGTTTCATAGTGGAAATCTTAGTTAAACTGGAGTGTGGGACTGGTCCATTAACAGAAGTTTCTGTAGGCAGAACAAAACTTTCACTAGAAACAGCAGGAGCCCCAGTATGTATAAATATAGATGATTGGCCCCCACTTAAGGCGCTTTCAGACTTGTCTGTTGATAGGTCTTCAGGCAATGTTAATGTATTATTCTGAAACGATGTTTCACTCTCTTCTAATTTGGGAATGTCACTCTTCTCAGAGATGAAATTACTGTCATCTAGCAGTCCTTTAGCACCAATGATCTCAGTGTTGATTTCTGCCTCATCCATACTGCTGACATTCTCTGTCCATTTACTCTAAAGTAAAAATAAAAAGATCCATATTAGAATGCACATTAGTATAACAATTTTAAGATTAAACGTGATCATGCAAAAATATTCTTATGTTACAGAAAATCACACGTACAAAAACATACTATTAATGAAGAGATTAATGATTTCAAAAGTGGACCTAGTTCTAAAATTCAAATTCAACGTAGAATTATAGAGCAGAGATGCACAAGTCATTCAAAAGAGATACACTGAGATGTATACAAAGCTTTGTGTACTACATATGCACTTTGTCTGGAACCATCTCTTCAGATGGACTTTGTCCTATTACAAACATTTAACAAACTAAAATCAAGAAAGATTTTATGTTTACCAGAATAAAATACCATATTATAATATACATAGTTGAGTAGCAAAGCAGGATTCATTTTATATACTGAACATACCACAAATTTTCATTAAAACAATACTTTTAGCAAGCTGATGTGAAAAAGATAAAGTTTACAAATAAAGTTGAAGTTTGACAAACTATTCTATATCATGATAAAAGCAGATGATTATCTCTTGTCAACAGTCTGCTTCCTATACCTGTGTATGTAATCACATTTGTAAATCCATTATAGGCCAATATATGAGATTAGATTTTTTTAAAACTGCGAAATCAGCTAAAGTGCTGGTCACTCTCCCCCCCCCCCAAGCAACAGTATATGAGAAATAATCTTGTTGAAATTTCTGCATGTAATAAAAAGAGTTGAGATTTCAAATGCTACTGATACATACACAATCAGTGGAGAAATCTTTTCCAAATTAATATTTGTAGGCACAATGAATATTTTGGAAAAACCAGGAGATGATAAGAAACTTAAAAGAAATATAAAAGATTTGCACTGTATCTCCTCCTATCAAGGCTACTGTACACATGCAAAACAGTTAAATAATTACTAATACAAATTAAAAACCTGCAACCCTCTAGATATTGCTGCATTATTAATGTATTTATACTGGGTGTATTAATGTACATATTAATGTATGTAAGGGCAAATGTTCACAAGGTTACTGAGAAAAAAATAGTATCATTCAACAATGTCTAGAAGATTCTCAATTCTCAATTTCAATTTAAAATTATATTTGAAGCACATACAGAGTGTCATTGATTTACAATCATTCATTGAAAAACCGTTCAAAGTTACGATGGTCCTGAATAAAATGATTTATGATTGGTCCTCGCACTTGCAACTACTACAATGTTCCAGTGGGAAAATGATCTAAGTTCGGGCACTTGGCAACCAGCGTGTATTTGCAATGATTGCGGCATTCTGGGGTTCAGTGATGGCCATTTATGAGGTCCTCTTAGAAGGCTTCTGACAAGTAACATCAATGGGGGAAGCTGGATTTGTTCAACAACTGTGGCAAAAAGCTCGTAAAATTGGGCATGATTCACTTAACAACTGTACTGTTTACTGACAGAAGTTCTAGTCCCTATTGTAGCAACACACGTAGAGACACACACTCTACAATACTCAGTGACTTATTATGTGAACCAGTCTGCTTCATTTTGCACTGATTATGGAAAAGGGGACTTTCCTTCTACAATGAACATGAAAACCGCATAGTCTGGCAGAGAAAGGATGAGTTACTAGATCAGTGATGGCGAACGTTTTAGAAACTGAGTGCCCAAACTGCAACCCAAAACCCACTTATGTATCGTCGGGTGCCGGGTGGGCATGGCCCATTGGGTGGGTGTGGCCCATTGGGTGGGCGTGGCTGAGGTGGTAACGGCAGACTGGGTGGGACTAAAAAGTTCAATCAATCAATTCCAACTTTGCGAGATCTTTTTTTTCCCTGCAAGAAGTTGAAATTGATTGATTGAACCTTTTTTTTTTTTTTTGCACACGGCGGTGGAGGCCTAAAGCGAAAAGGTTTTATAGAACCCAGCTGAAGGCCTAGGACTGGGGCGACGGCACGCGTGCCCACAGAGAGAGCTCTGAGTGCCGCCTCTGGCACACGTGCCATAAGTTCGCCACCACTATACTAGATTCTTATGTTTATCTTATACAGGTAGTCTTCAGTAAGCAATCACTTATTCAGGGACTTTTTACAGTGCTAAAGAAGGAGACTTACAGCTGGATCCATGAGGGTGTGGCTGTTGCAATGTCTCTATGTCCAGATGATCATGACTCGAGCACTTGGTAACTGTTGCAATTACAATGCAGTCACATGATCACCTTTTGCAACTTTCACTGTGGCTTCTGACAAGCAACGCCAATGGGGAAACTGGCAAGAAGTTGCAAATCACAGTCATGTGACATCACACTCAATGACCTCATGATTCCCTTAACAATTGCAATTAGAACTGCCATCGTAAGTCAATCGATTTTGCCTGTACTCATTTATGCCCTCTTCCTCGTGCAGATACCTTAAAACCAATCACTTCACCTTCCTGTATGGTAGGCTCAATCCTGCCTAAAGGAGCTTGTTGTTTCAGCTTACCTGATAATATAATAGTCTGCGATTTAATTTGAAAATATTTTTAGACAAAACAAATAAAAAAAATCTAGGAAAGGTTGTAAATAGATTTTAAGTCAAATATGTGAACAGTATATAAGCAATAGCTATGTCAGAACTATGCTTTAAATCTAGTCCAAAGATTGAATTATCCAATTTCCATATGAAATAAAGTAATACAAATACAAGGATGAAATATCCATTAGATGAATGGATATGGATGTATTAGATAAAATTGCTAAATATTTTCATTTTTAGAATTCCAATTTTATAAGTCTACAAAAAGAATAAACATCGATTTCTAACAAATTATGTATAGAGTGTAATCACTATAACAACGACGAAATATAGCGTCCCAACTAGTCAATCATATGCATAGAAATTTAAAAATGAAAACAAGCTCAAGCAATGGTAAAACATGGCAAGTAAAATAAAAAGTGAAATCTAAGGCATCACTTTTCTATTCTTCAAAATGCAAATAGAGAAATTATTCTGATTTCTAGAATACTTATGCTATAAAAATATTTGTATTTTCTCCAGCTCATGACATTCACAGACCTAGACAAATATATGCTCAGTCAATTTGGGAAACGATATTAGCTTTTCTCAACAGGAAGCAACGTTGTTAACGAAGTGGTAAATTCAGTGTTAATGAGTGGCTTCACTGTTGCCACCTCTGAGGAAAAACCTTTCATGTTCCATGTTCCATCCATCTGTTCTGGTGTTAGGGGTTCAAAAAAAGAACAGACGCTTTCCATTTAAAACAATTTTATTGGTGCCCCCTGAATCACAGGGTGATAAACTAAGAATATTATATTTGCTTCAAAAATACAATTATCATTTTCAGAATGACTTCAAGAAAAACTTTCCAACTTGGTATGAAAATACCAAGCTGCACTACTAACTCTAATACAACAATTGTTTTGAATGTAAAATTGAAAAATGCAATATTATTCTTTTGGATAATTATTCAATTATATTCTGTAAATATTAAGTAACATTTTGTTCATACATAAGGCTTGTTCAGTAAGCATTAACTGAATAAACTGTTCTGAAGATCAAACAATTAAATAAAATAGTCAGAAAAAACATCAAGTTAAGAATATATGGTAGCTATGCATCACTTTTTCAAGAAACAGTTAATTAATGTACCAAATTTGCTGTACATATATCAAACTATTTTAAGCTGTAGCCTTATCTAAATTATTGTTAATTTATACAGAAAGAATGCATTACATCATCCATTTCAAAATGTTGATTTCATCAATTTAATCCCTTTTACAGGACATTTCCAACACTTCTGATTATACTCTGAAATATCCTGGAATATTGAGGTGCAGATTCTGGCAATTAAAAATTCTAAATTTGTTTATTACATAATAAATCTAGATTAAAGTTTCTAAGATTAACCATAGAAGAGACTACAATGCATTGTGTACTTTTCAGTTCAATGCTAACAGAAACACAAACCAATGAACTCAGCAGACTCAGTTTATGTGTAATATTCCGCATGTTTTCAATGTTTAACATTCATTTTAGATTACAATTTCAAAAATCTGAACAGAAAAAGTGCTGTATTTAAGAAATTTAACAAATCCCTTAAGATTTTATTATATAGTGAAAGCATTTAAATTAGTTCCATCCTAATTTAAATTATTGCTGATTTAAAAAATTAATCTGATGCTTTGATTCAAATGTGATCGGTTAATGGGTAGATTAAATAAACATAAAAACCTTTTGAGCTGAATCTTCAAATTTAATCTTTGAATAATCTTTTTATACAGGTGTAGCATTAAGGAAATCAAGTTGTGCAGATGAGATATAAAATAACCTACACTATCTCCTTAACGTTTTATGAACCATAAAACTCCCATCCTTCTATGATAACATTGAAAGTACTTTTTCTTCCTGTATTTTTTTTAAATTAAATTCGCAAAACACTGATGACAAATGATAAAGCATTACATGACAAATAAGTACATTGAAGCAAATAATTTATTTCTCTTCCATTAATGCATTTTGAAATGCATTTCTCTTCATATACTTCTAAAATAAGACGAAACAAGTATTTAAAATTCATTTAATTATGGACTCCTTTTTAGTCACTGAATTATAAATTATATAGTTATGACATCATATATGCATACTGATATCATACTTACTTTACATTCTAAATTTGCAATAACACTGACATAGCTGGCTTATTAAGATTAATTTTGGTATTAGTTTTACATGTATCTACTTAGAAGTAAGTCACATTGTTTTCAATATAGCTTGCTTCCAGGTAGGAGGTCAGGCGTTCTTAAACATTATCACCTTTTTGTGCAATTTTAATGTATACTAAAAATCCAAATACCAAACTTTAGACTAATGAACAATGAAAATAATACCATGAAACTTTGGGAAATCTGGATTTATTGCAACAAGATAATTAAAGGGTTATTCACGCCTCCTCTGGACTCTGCACCCACCCCAGGAAGGTATATTTCTATGTTTGGGAAACTCTACTATAGACAAAGTAGCATGGAGTCAAACTCAACTCCTGGTGACTATATTGATAAATCAATATTGTTTTCTTGGCAACAATACAGTATAGCAATGTGTTGCCATTGCCTTTTTCTGAACTTTTTTTCAGTTTTTTTCAGTTTAGCTAATGTCTGGCTCTCCTTAAGTTCTAAATCCAGATAAGGCCAGTCAGTGTTATATCTTTATAGTAAACCCTTGATATGTAACAGATAAATATTTCATTCAAACTTTTTAAATTGAGCATTTGCCCTTAAATTAAGATTTTTCTGAAAATAATCTTATTTTTAAGAATCACATAGTTGAATAAATAACGTAAAATCAGATTTAACAGACCTTTGGGTTTAAAGGACATCCTCTCTACCCAAATGATATATTAAATCTTCATTTACTGATAGCTATTGAACTGCAGTCCAAATTAGTTCAAATAGACAGCTCTATAAAGAATCGTTTTGAAATATTCTTTCTTTTTCCCTTCAAAACTGAAAATAAACTTTTTAGGTGGCTCTTTTAAAAAAGATTTTATTTTTATAGAAAATCTTAATGAGTTCTGCAGTTAGAGCTGCCTGTAGTCATATCATGTAAGCTTTAAGAAATGAAGCACAAAGGTCAGATCCATCTTCAAGATGACAGATTATCACTTAAATGCCCCAGGCTAGTCTTATTGTCTAGGAAATCACAAACATCACTATTTTTGCAAACTATCAGCACTTGCTATAACACCCTTACTACACTACATCTTGAAGTTACTACAAAAGAAATGAGGTGATAATTGCATATTAACATAATTATTCGGTAATCCCCTCTGAGCAAACTTCCTAGGTCATTCTATAATTCAGGTTAGATTCAACCTTCCTGTCATATCCATGCTGCCCACTTTCTTTTGACTAAGAATTTTTTAAAATAAAATGCACATCCTTTTACTTCTATGTACATTATTAATTGTATTTATTACAAGTAGGTTAATATTCACTGAATACTTACTGCGTAGTGAGAACCTAACCTTTTCTAAGGTATTATTACACAAGCTATAACGGTGTCCTCATTCAAATGCTAGCTCATTTAACCATATAACCAAATTAAATGCTATGCTGATGCCCACTAATACAGGTAAAGTTAAAGATTTGTCAGATTCAATAAGAAATTATCATAAATTGGATTTCAAGAGCCATGAGCAGAGGGAAAACAGATACTAGCATTGTTTGGTATAAAATTATCTGATCAGCAATGAAAGCACATATATACATACTCACATAGTCATGCACCCATAGAATTTCTTGTATTTCCAAACAAAACAAAAACCCTAAATAGATCATTGCTTGCTCCCTCTTTTCTTACACAATGCTTTTTTTTTGGGGGGGGGGGATCACTTCATGTTGAAAGGGCACAAACAGATCCTCACCTTATGCTTTATAACTTTAATATATGTATTATACATCAGAAGATATAACAGTTGTTCATTATGACTGATAATGGGGAGAAAAAGACAGTTATGACTAAATGGATTTGAGTCCACGTGGAAGCAGAATTCATAATATGAGGAAACAATGCTAGAAAATAAACTTCAATCAACAAGAAATTGCAGTATGAACCATATAAAAAGCAGATGTTCATTGGGTAGATAGTGTGGAATGGAACACACCTAACTCACATATAGTTTAGTGTGAAGGTTTATAATGGGCAAGCAAATAATTGGCAGAGTAAACATCAAGATTAAGAATGGAAAAGAGAACTTGGACGAGGATAGGATCTATATAACTCCTCTCTTCTGAAATTTTTTTTCCTCATTTCAGACAAATGGAAGGTTGACTTAAACAAAAATAAAACATTAACAAGAATCATCAGCCTCTATCGCACTCAAGGATAAGATTTAGTTCTAAAGATAGAAAAAAAATAAAAAAATGGTGTATCTTTTGAAAACACAGTGATCAAGGCTAGTGGCTTTTGGTGTTGGTCACCCAATTTCCTTCTATTTATCTGAAATCCTTCACCACACCTTTCCAGAGTTTCCCACCAGTTTAACCAATAGAGATAGATATTCTCTCTGATTCTCATAACTGCATAAATCCTCTAGACCAGTGGTTCTCAACCTGTGGGTCGGGACCCCATTTGGGGTCGAACGACCATTTCACGGGGGTCGCCAAACAAGGCTGTCTGCCATTTTCCCTTTTCTTGGCCACGCCCCTGGCACCCGGTGATGTATAAGTGGTTGGGGGTCACCACAACATGGGGAACTGTATTATGGGGTCACGGCATTAGAAAGGTTGAGAATCACTGCTCTAGACCAGAGGTCTCCAACCTTTCTCGGTTCGTGGACTGGAAGGATAGGGAGGGAGAAGCATTTTACACACTCACACACAAACAGGGCTGCAAGCACGCGTGTTGCAAATGGGGTGGGGCTAGTGCCCGTGTGGCACTCGCTAGCACTGCCGTTTTTGCTGTGCGAGTGAGTGCACATACACAATGGCCAGCCTGTCCCACAGCCCGCCCATAGGTTGGCGACCCCTGCTCTATACAAAATAGTAAGGCTGACTGCTGAATTGTCCAGGCTCACATGTCTCACTGTTCTCTCACAAGTCTTTCTCCCATTATATTTAGGAGAGCTTTGTGAAACTTTGTTCTTGGAGAGTAATGTTTGTATATAAAGAAGCAGACAGAATGAGATCAGATTACTAGCAGTTTCACTGCATTAAAAAAATAAACAGCTGTTCTACCCATTCATATGTAGAAGCCTGTATGCTTGCACTAAAGATAAAAGGATTTTAAGGAACAACAGATCCATCATCAAAATCACTGTGATCCTTGCAACCATTTTTAATTTCTGATTAAATAGCAAGAGCACAAAAGTGGAGAAAATCAAATATACATTTACTGTCACTGCAATACTATTTCTCTATTACAATAATCTGAATCTTTTGGATGGAGAGGGTTGTCTTCTTCCCTGAATTCTCATTTTTCCTTCAAATAAATCACTAGGTACTTTCTTATTATTAATTTCTATTTTTTCTGAATCGTGTGAATAATAAATATATAATTAAGTGTGCCTGTCTTCTCCCTGTCTTTTTTCAATTTAAATAATATCCCCAACTTCAGCCTTGGATCACAATTCAGCCCTACTAATAATTGTATGTCTTATTTAAGAGCTGTGATAGCACAGTGACTAGAATGCAATATTGCAGGCTAACTCTGCCCGCTGCCTGAAGTTCGATCTTGACCACTTCAAGGTTGACTCAGCCTTCCATCCTTCTGAGGTTGGTAAAATGAGAATGCAGATTGTTGGGGACAAGATGCTGACTCTGTAAACCATTTAGAGAGTTCTGTAAAGCACTATGAAACAGTATACAGGTCTAAGTGCTATTGCTATTATTTAGGCAGTGTATTAAAAAGTATTGTGGATGAGATTGATTTTTCATGATCAGTAAATTGACTAGGTTCTGCCAACTTTAAAAAGGTAAAGCCTCTTGAACTGAGCTTAATTTCTGGTGCCTTTATGGACACAAAAATGTAGTTTTCTGGTCAACAATATAGAAATAATAAGTCACTTCTTTCTTCTTTTTCCCAAATGTTTTTCACAATCCAATCTGATCTAGTCTAAGATGTACTAGTCTCTTCTCCAAATTCTGTCCTGACATTACCTAAACTAAGTTAAATGTTGTCATATCTACATCCCAATAAATAACCAGAGCCTTTAATCTATTTAGAGTGGGTTATTCTCTTTGAACATTAATAGAATGCATTATGCATGTTCTATTAACAAACTGTACCTATCTGAAAAGGATAAAACAATTACCTGAAATAAATTGATACCATAAACTTTTCAATTTAGAATAGTGAAATGTTAGTTTTTTGTGTACTAAGAATTCGCATAGCGTGCACCTTTGTCACATAACTATCTTTAAAATGAGTATCTTTTCAGTGGTAAATAACCAGCAGTTTCCTCTAGCTGCAATTCAACACTCATTAAAGCTGCTAACAAGTTTTTGCTTATTACATAAGCAATTTTTGTTTCACTTGCAATTGCTGAGAGATCCGTTTAGTATAAATTTCAATAATTTAAGACCATACCCATAGATGTTGCTCTAACAACCATTATTTACGTTAATCAGGACAAACATCTAACACAGAAACTACATTTTTATACCAGTAGTTAATACAGATTTATTTATATACGGTTCATACAATGTATTCTAAAACTGACTTTCTCCTCTTTAATCGGATTTGATGAAATCTTATGTTGAAAGAAGAAAAATAGATAAAGCATTACTTATAAATCAGTCAGGTGGGTTTTTTATGGAGACCCTTCTTTAGATAATCCAATATTTTGTTCAAATATCTTGATCAATATTTTCTCTAGTAAGATTTTTTTGTTGTTGTTGTATTTTCGTGACAGCATTGTCTCCCAGATAGTGCCAGGACAAGTCTCTGCAGTTTTGTTGGCAAGGTTTTTCAGAACTGATTTGTCCTTGTTTCCTTCCTAAAGCTAAGAGAAATTAATTGTCATCCAGCTGGCTTTGAATCTAAGATAGAACTAGAACTCACAATCAGCTGTTCCTAACCTGATGCCTTAACTAGATCAAACTGGACATAAATCTACTTCTGCTTCAATCATAATCCTAACAGTAAAGCACTTAGCGAATCTATTTGAACAATTTCCCTTCCAATGTAAAATATTTAAAAGTCACTCCATGTTTATATATAAAATTACTAATTTTGCACCTAATGATTCACAAATGGACGTATGAATTGGGCCAATCACTCCCTTTCAGCCCAACCCACCTCACAATGTTTCCACTGAAAAGCATTGTTACAATATATGAAAACTCGATTTTATGGAGATAAATGTTATATAATACATTTTCAAATCATTATCTAAGATTGTAATTATCAAGCAATATCTAAACTGAAATATAAAAAAAACTTATGTAGCGATACAAATAGTCAAAATGCTATGGACTCTATTTTCCCCTATTAAAATACCAAGGTAAGATTGTCAAATATTCTGGGAGCAGAAACCTACCGATTCCCATGACAACTTCACCTGAAAAGAAACTGGGACACCTCAACTAATTCAAAAGTTATACTGAGCTGAGCTGCCTGAAGAGATAAATGACCAAAGCAGCTGGCTCCAAAAGTCTGCACCTCAAGTTATATGTAAAACTGATGGATGCATATCCAAGAAAGAATGTAAGGAAAAGTTAAACTTCACTTTTTAATTCATATAATTACACTTTTTTTTTTATTTTGCATCAGCTACAGTGATTCTTCTTGTATGAATTACTGTTCAATTTCCAGAACCAGAATACTGCTTACTTTACTTGAAACCAGGTAGTGCCACCAAGTGGTGGTCATAATCTGTATACAACAGACAATACAACTACCACTTAAATCAAACATCATTTCTGCAGACTGGAAGTATTTCACTATCAATCAGGAAAGAAACTGAATCTAATATTAGCAAATGTTATTAGGAATGCAAATATTTGGATTTCTAATAGGTGGATAAGATTCAGAAATTATAAAAATCATTCTAACTTTAATTCAGTATTAATTTTTAAAGTCCTTAATTTAAACATTATTATGGCTATTATTTTACCCTACCACTATATTTATAATGCTAAAATAAATGATTCAGGAATTTTCATTGAAAAGAAAATTACTAGGGTTATACAACTACATCGAGTTGAAGCAAAAAAAAAAAAAGTTGTAGGTTGTAGTAAATGGAATATGCTTGCTTCAACAGTTGACAACAAAGATGCCAGAACTCTCCCTGGGCTTGCACAATACAGATTTGAATTAAAAAGCTACCACAATGACCTGGCAGTGATGACATAGCACAATTGTTTGTGGCACCTTGGTGGTTTCTTAACACAAACAAGTATTTTTCTTGCATACGGTAATCGCTGTGTGTCCGGGAGGTCAAACTGGAGCTTCATTAAAGAGGCTTGACAGATGCAACGATCATGTTTTACCTCCCGCTTGAAGCATCTTTTCATCTCTGGATTTAAATAGTCTTGAAAATACTAAAACCACTCTGTAAGCAATAATAGCAAAATAATAACACTGTAAGAGCCAGTTTATGCAGTGATTAAGGTGCCAAGTTATAAACTGGAAGATTACGGAGTCCCATCTTAAGCACAAGACAGCTGGGTCACTCTCTCTAAAGCTTAGGAAAGAGGCAATGGCAAACCACCTCCAAAATCTTGCCAAGAAAACCATAGGGACTTGTTGAGGCAATCGCCAGGAGTCAACACTGACTGGAAGGCACTGAAAAAAGAACTACAACTCCCCAAATTGTATTATATGGAGTCACTCCTTAGTCACAACACATTTTTTCAGCATTTGAATCATCCAGCAATCTAATGTCACACAGAAATAAGGCCATTTTTAACAACAATGTCCACCTTACAGAACATTCTCTCACTCTCAAAATATGGTTATGCCGGAGGTTTCTTTAGATGGCTCCACTACTGAGGTGGATGTATTTATTCTCTCTCTACTTGAGGTTTGTATATATTTTAGTTTTAATTAAACTCTATTTTTAATGTTGATTTTTTACTTTTTAAATTAAATTTAATGATTGATTATTGTATGCTGCCCGGAGTCACTCTCGTGAGATGGGTAACTATATACATTTGATTAATAAACAAATTAGCTATGCCTCTCGCACAGAAAAATCAATGTTTCTTTCTTTGCCATGTGGCTTAAATAAACCACAGTTCAAGTGATAATAACACACAGGGAAATTTGCAGGATAGAAAAATGTTTTTCATTTACCCTTAAGCGTAGTATGAGGTAAAGTTATGTTTGAAGAACATTTTTTATTCTAATGAAATCAAAGCCAGCCATAAACATGCAATAAATAGCACTTCAAAGCCAGATACCATTTCTAAAAAAGAGTAATGTAACATCAATGCCTGTATAAGAGATGGGGACTTGCATTGTGTTGCAGATCCTATCTATCTTCATTAATTTTACATCCTCCCCAAACCACGTGCCCCATGGGCCTTTCTGTAAGAAATTTCCTTACTGGAAAATGTTAAGACCCAGACCGGCTGGTATGAGAATAAAATACTTTTATTTGTAATATTCATTTGGAAGTAGAGCAGTTAAAGTTCCATAAAATCAATAACTACTTAACACTCAAACTAAAATAGATATTTAGTGAACTTTTCTTTACTCACCAATGCTTGTTTTGTCCGTTTTTAAGCTTCAAGTCTGGATTCAAAACTCAGATAAGCCTATAATAGTAAATTAACATTATCTATAAAGTTTTTTTTCAAATCCATTACACCACATTCATTATTGAGAGCCAAACTACACAAGGAGACAATTACCAATTTCTTCTTATAACAAATATATAGTATGTTATTCTACTACCTGTACCTAATTTTTACTGAATCTATTAATGATTCAATTTACTTTGCTACCATTACTTTATTTACCTTAGATGACCATGCTTTACACATGAAGAACGAGGAGAATAAAGTTAGCATTCTGACTTAGTCATTGTTTTCACTAAAAGAACTCCTATTAGTCTGGAAATAAGAGTCACTGAATTCCATGAGACTTACTAAATAGTATACATGTATTGTATTTCCTTGCATTTCTGATCAAGTACAAAACTACCTCAATCTGTTGTAAAGAGAAGATAGAAACAGCCCAATAGCCCCAAGGATTTATTTTACCAATTACCATTCCAGCTTACATAAGGTAACCTGAGAGCTGAGGAATCAGCTCTTAGCAAATGAACCAGCAAATGTGTGGAAAAGGGGCGTTGTCTTACCTGAACACCTTTTCTCAGCATGATGATGGAGAATCCATGAACAGGGTTTAGACCAGTGGTGGCGAACCTATGGCACGAATGCCAGAGGTGGCACTCGGAGCCCTCTCTGTGGGCACACGCACCGTCTCCCCAGCGCCACCTTCTCCCATGGCCCCCTCCTCACCAGCAGCCTCCCCCAGAGGAGAGTCGCCCCTGGGCGCGGCCCACACAAAGCAGCACAGCCAAGGACATGGTAGCTGGGCAGCGGGGACAAGATTCTGCCCTTGCGCCCTGTCACGCGCAGATGCTGTGCGCATGGGCAGAGGGCATGGCCGCCATGGTGCTGCTGGGCTGCCTGGGTGATCTGTTGCAGGCCGTGGAGGTGGTGGATAGACCAATGGGTAGGGTGGAGTGGGGAGGCGGTTTTTGGGCACTTGGTCTCTAAAAGGTTCGCCATCACTGGTTTAGACTGTCTTCCTGCCCATTTAGGCTAAGTCTGACAAAGTAGCTACGCCTCCTGCTGGTCCTCTGTTTGCCAGACATGATGAAGGAGAAGCTATTGACGATAGTCCGATTTGTTGGCTCCCCTACCCCTAACACTGGCCCTGACAGAGTGGGTGTGGATTCTCCATCATCATGCCGAGAAAAGGTGTTCAGGTAAGACAACGCCCCTTCTCCAGCATGATGAGTGGGACATACCAAAGCTAACCTGTCCCTATAGGAGAGAGTCGGTCTGGGCCTGTGTCCCATCTGATGGCAGCACTTGCTGGAGTACCCTCTGGCCAAATGAGGCCTCAGTGGAAGCAAATTTGTCCAGTTTGTAATGCCTCACAAATGGGGAAGGTGAGGACCAGGTCGTCGCCCTACAAACCTCTCTGATGGATGTCTGTGATGTCCATGCTGCTGATGTGGCGGTGCTGCGGGTGGAGTGAGCGGTGATATGGACTTGGAACTGACAGGGAATGCGACTGGTATGCTCTTGCAATGCATGCTTTGATCCACCTGCCTATCGTCAAAGACGAGACCTTCTATCCCATGGAAGAAGGTTGAAAGGAAATAAAGAGCGCTTCCGACTTGCGAAAGACTGAAGTCCATTTGAGGTAGTGGCGCAGCACCCTTCGAACGTCCAAGGTGTGCCATTGGCGTTCTAGCCTGTGTGATGCACTAGGGCAAAAATCTGGGAGAATTACCTCCTGTGACCTGTGGAACAAGGAATTTACCTTCAGTATGAAAGAAGGATCTAGTCCAGTGGTTCTCAACCTTTTTAATGCCACGACCCCCAACTGGTTGTAAGTCGAGGACTACTCAACCGGTTGTAAGTCGAGGACTACTCAACTGGTGCAGCATCGTTTGCAGAATGGGACTTTTGGCGGGCTCAGCAGGGCAGAGACAGCCTGGACAATTCCTATTGGCTTTTGAAAGCCAATAGAATTAGACTCTATTCAAGAGAGTCTATTCTATTGGCTTTCAAAAGCCAATAGAATAAAAGGGAGTAGCACAGCTAAGGAAAAGGGGCGGACTGCGTTGTTTGGCAACCCCCGTGAAATGGTCGTTCAACCCCAAATGGGGTCCCGACCCACAGGTTGAGAACCACTGATCTAGTCGGAGAACCACCCTGTCATTGTGGAAAACGCATAGGTCCTCTCTGACAGTTCTGAAATGCGTCTGGCCGACATGATGGCTATGAGGAAGGCTATCTTCATGGTTAAGAACCGTAATGAACATGTCTGAATGGGCTCAAATGGTGACAAGGTTAGGGCTTGCAGGACCTGTGGGAGTTCCCAAGAGGGATAACGATGAACCACGGGTGGCTTGGTGTTAATTGCACCCTTGATAAAGGACCGCACCATCGGATGTTGAGCCAATGGTGTTAAATTGTCACATGTAAGCACCGTGGATAGGGCCGCCACCTGTCTGCGGATGGTGTTGGGTGCCAAGCCCTTATTGAGCCCTTCCAGCAAATACTGAAGGATTTTTGGGTGGTTTCTTGTGCACCAGTGGCAAAAACTCTTTCATAAGGAGTCGTAGATCCTATTGGTTGAAGGGCGTCTTGCGGCCTGAATCATGGAGATAACGTCCGTCGGGTAGGACTCCCGTGTCAGGAGCCGCCGTTCAAGTGCCAGGCAGCTAACTGTAGCCATTGAGGGTCCAGGTGCTGGAGGGCTCCCTGGCTGAGCACCACCCGATCTGGAGGGATCCTCCACTGTGGAGAGATAGACAGGCTCACGAGGTCGGCAAACTACGGTTGACTTGGCCAGTGTGGAGCAATTAATATCACCTCTGCCCGATTTTGTATTATCCTTCAGATAATCGCCGGGAGCAGAAGGAGAGGGGGGAAGGCATAGAGCAGGCCCTTGGGCCATGGGCTGCAGAGGGCATCTGCCTGCTCTGCTCCTGGAGATGGGAACCGAGAGAAGAACCTCGGGAGCTGGGCATTCGACGAAGAGGCGAACAGGTCCAGAATTGGAAATCCGAACCTCTCTGAGATCTCCTTGAATAGGTCGGGATGCAGGTGCCACTCTGAGTGGTCCACTGTTGACCTGCTCAAGGAATCTGCCTGCTGGTTTGCCTCTCCTGAGATGTGCTTTGCTTTGAGGGAGGAGAGGTTGGTTTCTGCCCAAGAGTTCAGCAGTTGGGCCTCGGTCATGAGAGATCTGGACCGAGTGCCCCCCTGTCAGTTCATGTGGACCTTTGCTGCTACATTGTCTGTGAGTACCAGGACATGTTGTCCCGCCACCGTTGCTGAAGTGGCACAGTGCCAGGTGTATGGCCCTTAGCTCTAGCTAGTTTATGTTGTGTTTGAGGTCCGACTGTGACCATCAGCCCTGCACTGTGAGTGTAGGTGTGCCCCCAGCCAAACAGACTGGCGTCCGTCGTTAGGGTAAGTCTGGCTGGTTCCTTGAATAAGGAGCCTTTGGCTACCAACGGGGAGGTCCACCACTGAAGGGACTCTAGCGTTTGAGGAGGAACAACTACCCTCTGGTTGGAGGAGCTGGTGCTCTGTCTCTGAAATGGTAGCAAGAACCATTGGAGGGTTCTGGAGTGTAACCTGGCCCATGGCACTATACCCATGCAGGAAACCATTTTTCCTAACAGTTGGGAAAGTGTGGCCAGTGTGACCACCTGCTCCCTTCGTACCTGCCTGATCAGAGTCCGGATGCTGTCCCGACATCCTGGTGACAGGTAGACCTTGAAGAGATTGGTGTCTATGATCGCGCCTAAGTGAAGGAGGTGGGTTGAAGGTTCTATCTGGCTCTTTTGGAAGTTCATCGAAAAACCGTGGTCTTGAATTGTCCTGATAGTCAAGGCCAGATCTGACCAAGCCCCCTTCAAGGAGGTGGACTGGATGAGGATGTCGTCCAGGTAACATTGGACCTGTACCGGTACCAGTCTTAGGTGAGCAGCCAGAACAGCCAAGACCTTGGTAAATACTCTTGGTGTGGACGAGTGCCGAATGGTAGAGTCTTGTACTAGTAATTATGGTTTGCGTAACAGAACTTGAGGAACCTTTGGTGGTCGGGGAGGATGGGGACGTGAAGGTACACTTCTGTGAGGTCAACAGACGTCAGGAAATCGCGCCTTCTGACACTTGCAGAATGGACCGAAGTGTCTGCATCTTGAATCATTTGTAGACAAGAGTTTAGGCCTTTCAGGTCTAGTATTACTCTTCATCCTCCCAAGGCCTTTGGCACCACGAAGAGGATGGAGTAGAATCCCCTTCCCAGTTGACCAGCTGGCACTGGTTTTATGGCTCTGATTTCCAGAAGGTGATGAATGGCTTTGCTCATGAGTCGTATCCTGCCCGGATTGCTGGGAACTGAGCAAGAAATGAACCGTTCTGGGGGATGGGATGCAAACTCGAGGGGCAGGCTGTATCTGATTGTTGAGCACCCAGGAGTCTGTGGTGGTGACCTCCCACTTGCGAATGAAGTAGGTGAGTTTGCTGCCTATGGGGAGGGCCGTCCTGGAGTCACTTGTTTCTTCTGAGGGATGTCCTTCCGTGCCTCGAAAGTGTCACTTGGCCTGGAATTGCTGCCGCGGCCTTGGAGCAGGGTGATCCAGTTGGCAGTCAGGCCTGGGGTGGAAAGGGCGGGAAAGTGGGGCCCACTCAGATCCTGATCAAAAAGGCGGCCTATGTGAATATGGGTTAGCCCGTCTGTCCGCCCTTCTGTTAAGGTAGGCCAACACCTTGTGCTTGTCCGTTTTCCACCAGATAGGGGTTGAGCACCTCTCCAAATAGTTGCCTGCAACGATAGGGGGCGGTAGCCAGGCGCCACTTTGATTTTAAGTTTGCTTGCCATTGCTTGAGACATAGGAGCCTGAGGGCTGTGACATTAATGGCTATGGCTCGGGATGAAAATCTGGCGGCGTGTAGTGCTGCATTCGCCATGTATTCAGAGATAGCCACTAACTTACCCAGATTCTGATGAGCATGAATCTGGTCCAGGAGGGGATCATGGCCTGAAGCTCTCGGAG